GAGAGAGAGAGAGAGAGAGAGAGAGAGAGAGAGTTTGATAAATAAATAGATCGTTGAATGGATTGTTAAATAGAGTTAGATAAAGTATAATATAATATAATATATATAGTATAAATACAGAGAACAGAGAAACAAAGAAAAGAAAAATAAAACGTACAAAATCCAAAAGAAGAAGAAAAGGAAGAAAACAAATCCACAATCTACAAATAAAAAACAAACAAACAAAAAACTGTTGGACTTTGCGACGAAATGACTTTATAAACAAACTGTCTGCTTTTTGCGTGTGTTTAGATATGATGATTCATCATATCGCCCGTTATTGCATTTATATTACTGGTGATATCTTTATTCTGTCACTTATGAACAAATACAGAAGTAATAGTAATATCATCCGTATTACTAGGTAGCATGAATATTCGTATGGCATTATTATTATTATTGAAATTGTTATTAAACAAGGTTTGACTGCAAGGGGAACCTCACAACGACTTGATGATATAAAATAAAACTGAAAAAAGTCATAACATATTATCATTATTTTCTCAAAGGATGAAAAAATATATCTCCACAACGCCTCGCAACCTAGTTATGTTAACAGCCTGGGGACTTTTTATGCCCAATTAACAGTCTTGATTATAGGGCATGACTTTCCAGCATAGCAGCAAATATGGATCTACCGACAACATACTAATGTGCACCTCATCATTCGAAAGTATAAACACAGGTTATGAAGACACAGGCAAGAGTTTATGAGGCCAACTTACCTCATGAGACTAACTTATGCCGAACTGTCATGCGACTCTCGTCCTTTCGCAGAGTTCGTGTAAGTAAGTTATTACTCTGTGATAATTGCGCTATCATTTGTGTATGTTAATGGAATGTGTATATTGACATGAGACACGAATGTATTAATCATACGCTTAGTGCATAAGGCACGCACAGCCACGCGGGAATACCGACACTAGATCATTTTGATATATATAATGTTGGGTAGTGTTAAGTGTTAAAATGTGTTAAGGGGTAAGTAACGTTAAGTTTAAGTAGAAATGTGTTAGGGAGAATTAATGTTGAAATAGCGTCAAGTAGTAAATTGTGTTAAATGTTAAGTACTGTTCAGTGTTAAATAGTGTAAGAAGTTGGTTAGACTAGTGTTAAGTTTTAAGCATTGTTGAGTATCAAGTTTTGTTAAGTATCAGCGAGTACCGACTCAAAAGCTGAGTTAAGTCTTTAGAATTGTAAAGTACTGGATTGAATATATTAGATAGTTTCAAGTTTTAATCAGTTGCCTAATGTCTTGTGGTGTTGTGTTAAATTGCATTAAGCAGTAAATTTGAATTAGTATTAAGGAAGCGCGTTAAGTGTGGAATGTATTAACGTGTTGCAGGGTGTTATTTCTGACAAAGGTCTATTAAATTTTAAGCATTATTAAGTGTTAAGCAACATCTAACGTTAACAAGGATTAAGTGTTAAGCAAAAATTAAAGGTGAAATCGCGTTCCCTCTTAATTAAGTAAAATTACATACAAAGTTAATTTGAATATAAAGCTGTGTTAAACATAAAACACCATTTAATACGAAGTAATTTTAAAACATCAAATAGTATTAAGTGTTCAGTGTTCAGTATCATGCTATGTGTCAGTGACTTGCTATATTAGTCCTTATGTCCATGGTGATAAGTATCTAACACTACAACACAATGCCTCGACCTATACCCTGGCTGTGTTCCTGCGTGTGTAGTATGTTAGATCTTCATAACATCTCTACCGAAAGATCATACAGTGAGGGGGGTAAGGGTAAAGCTGGGGATGGGTTGGTGGTTATGGTAGGTGATAACAATATGGTAGCGTGTGTATGTTTTTGTGTGTGTGTGTGGTGGCGGGTTATGTTTGTTTGTTTGTGTGTATGTGTGTGTGTGTGTGTGTGTGTGTGTGTGTGTGTGTGTGTGTGTGTGTGTGTGTGTGTGTGTGTGTCTTTGTGAGGGTGTGTTTCTGTGTGTGTGTGTGTTTGTGAGGGTGTGTGTGTGTGTGTGTGTGTGTGTGTGTGTGTGTGTGTGTGTGTGTGTGTGTGTGTGTGTGTGTGTGTGTGTGTGTGTGTGTGTGTGTGTGTGTGTGTGTGTGTGTGTGTGTGTGTGTGTGTGTGTGTGCGTCTGTGTGTGTGTGTCTATCTGTCTGTCTGTCTTTGTCAAATATCTTAACTACGATAAAAATGCTACTAAAGCTACAGCTGTTGCTATACTAATAATTGTATGGATAGCAGAAATATCAAATAAGATTATGATAATCAGGATAAAATGATAAAGAAAATTATAATGATAATAATAATAATAATGAAATTACTGTCAGTGATAATAAGGTAGCGATAATGATAATAGTAGTAATAATGATAATTGTGAGAACTATGATAAAGAAATCCTTATTGTTATTGATGTTAGTAATAATTGTAATGATAAAACAAATTATAATGATAAAACAAAAGTGATAATGATAGTCCTACTGATGAAAACAAATGAACACAATAGTAATGATAAGGATAAGGATAGAAATAATGATAATAATAATGATTATAATAGTTATAAGATAATGATAATGTATCATAATAATGAATATAATAACAATAAGAAAAAAAATAATAATGCCGATAATAATATAAGTGAATTAATGCCAACACTAGGTATATTAAGAGTAATAGTGATATCAACAGTAGAAATAAAGATAATAACACAGACAACAATAATGAGAACAGAAGCAATAACAATAGTATTAGTAATAATAGTAATAACGACAAAAGTGACGACAACAAAGTTAATAATAGATACCTGAACGTTCTTAACAAAGGAAGAGATTATATTGCTTATTTCTGAGTCAGTGCGTTTATATATCTTTTGATATTGAAAAGCCAACAGTCGTTCCCAGTCTTGATATTCGCTCTTTGCTTGTTTGTTTGTGAGTTTGTTTGTTTGTTTGTGTGTTTGCGAGTCTGTGAATTTGTTTGTTTTTCTTTGCTTATTTTGTCTTTATTTCTTTGTTTTGTTTTGTTTTTATATCTGAGTTTTAATTATGTTTTTTTTGTTAGAATGTCGTTTCGTTATTTATTTTTTTCTTATGCTTTGTTTTTATGTATTGTTTGTTCACTTGTTGTTGTTGTTATTATTATTATTATTATTATTATTATTATTATTATTATTATTTACTTTATTTCATTGTCTATATATTCGATATATTCTTATCATGTCACTGTCTGTAACTTTACAGTAACGTTATAAGATGTTAATTAGGACTATGTGTATAAAATTCTTTCAATCGATTATTTTCATCGTCGTTGAAAGAAGGAGAAAGGAAAAGATAAAGAAAGAAAAAAAGTTTTGATGAATCGGGAAGGAGAGGGAGGAGAGAGAATGAGAGAGAAAGTGACAGGGAGAATTAGAAAGATAAAGATACACACACACACACACACAAGCACACACATTTACACACACACACACACACACACACACACACACACACACACACACACACACACACACACACACACACACACACACAAGCACACACATTTACACACACACACACACACACACACACACACACACACACAATCACACACACACACACACACACACACACACACACACACACACACACACACACACGCACATAGAGAGAGGAAGACGTGGATTCACACACGCACACACACACAAACAAACAAACACACACGCACATACACATTTATACACACACATAGCAAGAGGAAGACACGGATTCACACACACAAACACACACACATTCAAACACACACATACACACAAACAAAACAGAAACAACAAACAGTAAAGAATAGACATCTCACACGCAGTACCCGGGATTGTGTCTTCCAGCAAAGGTCAAGGTAAGAACAAGAGTCTTAAGGAAAACGGATGTTCCAAAGTAGTGAATTAATGAAGAGATACTCGTAGTTTTTTACTGAATGAGAGAATGGGAACTAGAAATTGGGAGGAGTCCATGAATAGAGTGAAAGGTTAATGGTATAGTAAATTGAGATGAGATTATAAACGCACACAAACTCTCTCTCTCTCTCTCACTCTCTCTCTCACACACACACTCTGTCTCTCTCAAACACACACACACACACACACACTCTCTCACACACACACTAACACTAACTCTCTCTCTCTCTCTCTCTCTCTCTCTCTCTCTCTCTCTCTCTCTCTCTCTCTCTCTCTCTCTCTCTCTCTCTCTCTCTCTCCCCCTTTCTCACACACACATATGACATTAATATTTTTTTAGCAAAAGGAAAAAAAATAGATAAAAGCAAATATGAACAAAAGGCAACAAATGAATGTCACATATCTTTCAAGCTAACACTTTATTGCTACAGGAAAAGACTGGAACGGATATATTGCTTAGTATATTATGAATTGTATAACGTCACATCCTGACGTTCTTGTCCATTTTTTTCTTTTCCAACTTCATGATTAAATGTTTAATTTTATCGGAAATACGCGTATCCACTTAAAAGAAAAGTATATAAGAAACTTTTATTCATTTCACTTCCGTGATTAGTTTTGACGTTTTGAAAGAATACAACACATTTATTTTTTTCTATTTCCATTTTTTCTCTCTCTAGTTATTCATAGTCTACAAACAGTTTGCATTTATCTGAATATTTCATCCTTAATTATCATGTAAATGTGGGAAACAGTGATAGTTATGACATGTAAATAGAAATGGTAATTATATTCGTGTGTGTGGTAGATTTATATTAACGTACATAAGTAGATAAGTAGATACGTAGATATGTATGTAGATAGACACATACAAACGCGCGCACATACACATAAACATACACACACACATACAAACGCGCGCATACACACACACACACACACACACACACACACACACACACACACACACACACACATTTCTGTGTATATCTGTGTATGTGTCTGTGTGTTTATGAGTGTGCATGCATATGTGTATTGTGTAAAAATATGGTATCATATATACATACACATGGCAAATAATCAGCACGAGAAACAGAAAACAAGCAAAAACAAACACACAGTTAAGTAAACAGAGTGACTATCTCATTCCTTGAAACGCTAAACGACTTTCGATGCAATGTAATTCTCAGAACCAATACCTGCATTAGATTCTGACATATAAACATTAATTCGAAAGGTTAAAATACGAAAGCCAGACAAAAGGTTGGGATCAATAGACACGTTGAGTTCCTCTGATTGACAAGCAGATAACACGAAGTTGTGCAGAAATCTTGTGCACACACACACACACACACACACACACACACACACAAACAAACACACAGACACACATGCACTATACGTATGCATGATTATCTATGTTCAAAAGAAATATACAAAACAACGTAATAACGTAGAATTTCCCTCATAACCCAAACATCTTCCCACCTCAAAACACCCGACAAGACAACAATGAAGAAGAAGGGAAAAAAATCACGAGAAAAAAACAACAACAACAATCAAAAAACAAAACCAGAAAAGCGTGCCATTTTTTTAAAAGTGTCATTTCACAGCCAGAAGATCTGTAATCAGGATAAGAAAGTGCGGTTAAGATTTACGTGAACATTGCGTGTGTTGTAGCTGTATGTTCAACCAGTGTTATTATTATTTTTTTTTCGTTTTACAAGCACTGTGTAAAGAAGAAAAGGCTTCTTATATCGTTCTTGTTTTTGATCTCATAGTTGTGATAGAGATATTAATGGTACTGCTGCTATTACTACTACTTTT